ATTACATTTTCTTGAGATATATGCATCAAAGCCATGTTCTTTATTTGTGAAAATTGGATCGATTTTCTGCTTGTAGTTGATTTGTTGAATTTGATCAATCTGGGGTCAGGATTCGCAGAATTTTATTTTTCTGATTAATTTTTCTTAGCACAATTCAGATCAATTAGCCTTTTTAAGTTTAAGTTCTCATCTTTCTTCATAAAGCATAGATAAAACCTTTTAGACTTTTTGAACTTAATTGCACATAAGAACACCCCCACATAACAGGGTGCTATAGACTAGTTTTTACATAGTGATCGTACAAGAACTTTAAATCTCAAATAATACAGATCCAGAAAGCAACTAGTAGCTTGGAATAATAATGATCGATGAAATAAAGTGACCTTCTTAACCAATGAGGGTTGATGTAGAGAAGGGACACCATCAACAGAAAGAAAACCAAATATGCTGGCAAAAAACATACAAGAAAATCAATAAGATCAATGTCATACCATTTCCCTTTAGTTGCATCTGATTTTAACCACGGTGTCTCAATATCATTGCCGCAGTTTTTCTCCAAAGGCAGCCCGCAAAGAAACCGGTTTCCCTTATAGCTGCTCTCGTCGAATGTTGAAAACTGCTTTATCATCATTGGAGTGTCTCCAGATAAATTGTTGTATGAGACATTGAAGACTTCCAAGAAGTGCAGGTTGGTCAACTCTGGAGGGAGTTTTCCAATCAGATTGTTGCAACAAAGGTCCAAGCTTTCAATCTGGGATAGCTTGGACAAAGTAACTGGAATGGGACCTGTCATCCGGTTATGAGATAAGTTTAAAGCATGAACCTGAGAGAACGTTCCGAGCTCTTGAGGGATTTCTCCAGTGAGATTATTGCAGGATACGTCGAGAGCAGATATTAAATTTAGTATGCTACCCTTGTAAGAGCTCCCCTTGTTTTTATTTACCAGATGAATCTCATTGAGTCCTATAGTCTCGACATCTATGAAGAGGTTCAGATTCTTCTTCAGGAGATCTCCATATATGTGATCTTCATCAGTAAACTGGATGTCAAATGGGATTGCATGTTGTGCAAGAGATTCACCGTAGTTCTCCATCACCCTAAAGGTTAAATTTTGGAAACAAGGCGGTATTGTTCCAGACAAAGAGTTGCTAGAAAAATCCATTATGGTTATATTTTCCAATAAACACAATGTCTCTGGGATCGAACCTTTTAAACAATTTTTTCCCAATAGAAGATGTTTCAGATTCAAAAACGTACCATTTAGGTCTGGAATGAAACCGGACAAGCTGTTATCTTTGAGATTCAACACGGAAAGATTAGTTGGGGAATTTGGAAGAAACTCTTGTAACAATCCGGTGAATTTGTTCCCTTCTAAATGAATCTCCCCAATTGTGGTGAAATCAATGCAGGAGGGTAGAGGACCAGAAAGAAAATTTTGAGAGAGGTCAAGAAAAAACAATGGAGACATAAGTTGTTTGCATGGAAATTGGCCCTCAAAAGAGTTATTCCTTATTGAAATTTTCCAACTCACTGTATTAATCCAGGTAGGAATTGGACCTGTGATGTTGTTGTTGCTAACATCGAATATGGTCAATGTCTTAATCTTCACATTTGATAGGTTTCCAGTGAATTCATTATTGCTTAACTCCAGCTGTCTCAACTTACTAAATTTGAATTCAGATGAAAAGATTTCGCCACCAAGTTTATTGTGCGATAATATCAGTTGTTGCAAACCACTACACCCTACAAGCAATTCTTTAGGAAGTTCTCCTAGGAAATTATTGAATGCCAAATCCAACTTGGACAAATTACGCATGTTCCCCAGACTACTTGGTAGAGCACCTTCAAATTGATTCCAAGACAAATTAAGATACTGTAAACTAGGAAGTTTGTCTCCAAAATCTTCAGGTAACTTCCCAGTAAAATTATTTTTGGAGAGATCCAACCACACCATATTTTGCATTCGATATGATGGCAAATGGATGAATTGACCAGCAAAAGAGTTATTCCTGAGATTCATAAATTTGAGGTCAGAATTGTTTTGCAGCAGCCAAATAGGGAACTCTTCTTTCAACTTATTGTAAGAGAGATCAATTACTCTCAACCTTTGTTGGTAGAAAAGAAACTTTGGAATACTGTTTAGACTCAAACTAGAGAGTATCAATGCCTTCAATTGAAACAACGGATTGATCCAACCAAGACTTTGAGCATCAATTTGTACTCTATCTTTGTTGCCTGTAAGCATGAATACCTCAAGCTTGGAATGATTTTCAATATAGCTAAATGAGAATAAGCCCTGAAAATTGTTGTGACGAAGATCCATGAATTCCAGGGATGATGGGAGGCTTCGTATCAAATCTGAGGAAAGGTTTTCAGTGAAGTGGTTGTTAGAGACATCTAAAAGTTTAAGAGATGTCAAATTGTTTAGGCATGGAGGAAGTGTCCCTTCAAAACTATTTTGGCTCAAATCCAACTCTTGAAGCCTCTTTAATTGACACAGACCTGCAACAAAGGATATAAATTACTACTACAAAATATATACTCTAGTTAAAAATTAGAAAATAATTCATATACGATTCAAAACACCTCATAACAATTATTGATTTAGCCATTAAATTTTGTAACTTTTAATTTTCTTGCCTTTGATTCAAATTTAAATAAAAAAATAATTTCTTAATAAATATATTCTAAAATTGTTCAACCAAAAGATATATTAATCATTATCTTAAAAATTTTACTCAAATAGATCAACTACACAATAGTAACAATGAAGTTGAAAGCCCAAATTGCAAGGTTTTAAAAATGAAATAATAGAAGCAAAAGTCAAGAACTAGTCGCGGCACTAGCATTTATCCTTATAGTCCGATCAAAGATCCAAATATACCTTCAAGTTAATTAGGAGAAATTACTTCTTCCTTATTTCTCAGAAATAGAATACTATAGGCAACAAGGTGGAAAGCAAACCCAATAATTAAGATGTAGGTTAAGGTTACATTTCATGTTCAAATCTCTTGTTCAATCTTGTCATTGCATGTATATGGAAGGGAAAATTAAAAATAAATCAATATCTTACATCACATACCAGGATTTGGTAAGAAGCCATTAAGTTGATAATTAGAAGACAAAGACAATGCTTTTAGAGAATGAAGTGCCCCAATAGATGAAGGAATACCCCCACTGAATTGATTCTTACTCAAATCTAATATCTTCAGTGCTGTAAAACCTATTAATAGATGAATGAGTATGAAAGTGTCAAGCAGGATTTTCAAAGGATCAAAGAAGTTCAATTAAACTTTGGGATTGGAATGGAGGAGTTTACTTAATACCTTGAATTGGCAAGTTTCCACTGAGGCTATTTTGACTCAAAATAAGCACCTCCACATTGCTCAAGTTACCAAATTCTTGTACACATTATGCATATGGAATTAGAGATAAAAAGAAGAGTATCATTTCAAAATTTAACTATAAAAATTGAATTGACATGAGAGATGTACCTTTATTGGAAATGGGTCCTTCTAACCGATTATTTGAAAGGTCAAGTAATTTAAGAGATGGAAGTGTGCCCAAAATTCTGATAATATCTTTATTCAAAATATTATCCTTCAAATATAAGTACTTCAACTTGCTCAGCTTGGACAAACTTGTTACATCTAATTAAAGGGATTATATATTAGATGGAGAAATACAATTACACTACATTATTCAATAAAACAACGTCAATGGTTTAACATTGTAGGTCATGTTTTTGAATGAATGCACAAATACAACTAATTGTAAGCGAATGTAGTTATTTATTGAATGTAGTTATTTATTGAATGAAACATGACCTTAACTTAATTTGTAGATTGTGAAGTGAAAGAATTAGCGTTATTGATTCACATACCTTGTGCTGCTGACGAGCCATTCAGTCTGTTGGATCCTAAATCCAACTCTTCTAAGTTCTCAAGAACAGGTAATTCTGCAAAAAAGAGTTGACAAACACCACTGTAAGTCCACTTGCATGTACTGTACAGGTAATTATAAGGTCATCCCGACACAGACAGTATCAAATTCTCAGAGGCAAATTAAACATTGTTTGAGCCTTTGAGGAGTCTTACTTACTAAAGCATACCTTTGTTCTGTATCCACCCAGCAATTACATTGAAGGATAAATTGAGCCTTCTTAGCTCCTTAAATGGCTGAAACAAGGAGACGTTTAAATGCCAACTATTTTTGGGATCATATATGCTAAAAGGAAGTACATCAAACTGCCTGGTATTGCTGAGGGAGAGCTTGATCACATGGCCTGTGGTGGAGTCACAATCGACTCTCTCCCATTTGCAACAGTCATCCCCTGGGTCATTAACCCATGAAGGAAGAAGATGGTCTGCATCTTGTCCGTCTGATTTAACAAAAGCCTTGAATTCTAGAAGAGCCTTCCTCTCCTCTTCAAAGCAACCTTGAATTCCTTGGATGGAAACCAAATGGATTACGCCCAACAATAATAACTTAATCACTAAATCAGCAGCCATCTAGCTAGGAATGAAGAAGAATACGCTGATGATTAGTTACTAATATTTGGACATGGCTGGTGCTGCCTCTGCTGGCCTTTTATATTGTAATTGTTCCTGGGATGACACCAAATCCAACTTAGCTATGGCTTGACATACACACCTGAAAACTTTTACTTTGGTAATAAATCCACAAGTAGGCACGACGTTTCACATTGGAAAACGTGAAAAGTATGATAAGAATAAAGTAAATTTATATGTGGACCGCTGCAAATCTCATATGTTGAGTCTGGATCAATCGATTCAATTGGCTTGTTTA